AAACCAGGCTGGTCAACCAGCCAACCAGCTTAGGCTGGTTTAAGTATTTTTTTCAGCAGGGGTTTATAGCATGTACCTGCCTTCTAGCATGGTTTGACTTGGTATTAACAATTTTACTTAGCAGCTATATCTGTATGTCATGCTTGTAGTGTTTACAAAGCAGTATGGTCCATTAAACCCTATTTGAGTCCATTTTTCAATATTTTCTAGCACATAAGCTTAAAACTGTGTATCTTTTTATTTACTATGGATTTTAAAACATTCAGTTCTACCTAATGTATGTTAAAGTTACAAAGTGTTAACCTAGCAACATGCTACTATCAAACTCTGTTGGAGTCATTTGTTTTGTTTGCTGGTGTCTATAACCTTTATATGGTTTGGCTTGTTTTAAAGTTGGCAAGCATTTATAAACTAACAGTAACAGCATGGCCATTATACATTTCATGCTTATTGTAGTGTTAGCTAGCTTAGCAGCACACTAAAACTATACAGAGTCGATTGTTTTGTATGTTTGCATGTAAAAGCTGAAGATTACATAGTTTGTTTTTATTTACTAAGAATTTAAACGCTATGTATTTTCTTGCTTATTGTAGCGTTAGCTTAGCAACATGCTAACATCAAACTCTGTTGGAGTAATTTGTTTTGTTTGCTGGTTTCTATATAACCTTTGGTTTGTCTTGATTTTAAGTTAGCAGGCATTTACAAACTGACAATTGTATTTATTTGCATTATACATTGCATGCATTTTGAAGTGTTAGCTTAACAGCGTACTAAAATTATACATCATCTGGGTCCTATTTTCATGCTTATGGAAATATAGTGTTAGCAGCGTTAGCTTAGCAACTTATGCACTCAGTTCTATTGGAGTCGTGCATTTGAAACCATAGCGTCTGCTTAATTAACCATCAAAACCTTGCTGGCTTCAGTGAAAAAAAGCTATTTAGATCAGCTTAGCTACTTCTAACTAATTCAACTCCCCAAGCAAGACTAGCATGGAAATTAATTACGCAGAGTAGTCTATTAGCAGAGTAACCAAAAGACAGAATTGATTAGTAGAGAGGACAATAATCAGGTTTGTCCGCGTAATTGAACGTGAATTGATATTTCCCAACAGAACAAATACCTACTATACACCATGTTTTCTTTCTCATACATCCATTTCTTCCTATATCTCTTTCTCTCCTTCCCTCTTTCCTCCTATACAAAATAGTCTTTCTGTGGCTCTCTCTTTCCTACTGAGCAGACAGGATCAATAGGTCTCGTAAGAGCTGCTGGCTTATCACGGCTGCAGTCATGGGTGTCAGGTAGAGAAGCCATAGCATTGAACACAGAGAGTGTGGACAAGCTCTCATCTCACTGAGATACAGAGGGAGATATTGCAGGTGTGAAGAAGTGCAGTTCCAAGAATCATGCGTCGAGAGCAGCTTAATCTGTCTTGAGCCCTTTGTGTCATTTTTGGTCTTCTGCTCGTGAATGAATAGACCAAACTAAATAGGCCAACCGGTGTAGTCGGTTTCTTTCAGGTACATATAAAGCAATGCAGTTTGAATGGAAGAGAAATGGTTTAGAAGGTGATAATCTACAAGAAATGTTATTTGTTGAATGCATACATGATGTTCTTTGATATGGTTAAGAAGTATGCTCTCTTAAAACAAACTTGCATTGATGGATTTATAAAGAGATTTCAACTAGAACTTTTATATTGCACAAAAGCGTCTTTATAGTGAGCAAAGGTTCATCTTCATTTGTATTATTAAAATATCTACATAGTAAGTTCAGGTTCTTTTCAACAAAATATTCTGTTCATGGAGGAAAAAAAAGCATCTTTTCTGAGTCAAAGCAGTCTCGAATGTCTCACTTTGGCTTACTTGTAAAAGGAAAGAAAAAAAAAATCACCCTATTTTGTAAATGCATGTTATAGATTGTATTGTGAATGATTCACTCGTTTGTTTAACCTTGTAAAGCTTATTTAAATAGCTTACCTAAAAATGTAAAGTTACTCACTATTTAGTCACAATCAAGTGGTTTCAAACCCATTAGTTTCTTTCCTCCATTGAACACATAAGAAGATACTTTGAAAAATGCTGAAAACCTGTAACTATTGACTTCCAAAGTCAATAGTCAAACAAATATTATGGAAGTCAGTGGTTACAGGTTTTCAGCATTTTTTAAAGTATGCAACAGAGGAAAGAAACTTTTAACAAGTTTGTGACAAGTGAAGGGTAAATAAATTATGACAAAATGTTCAGTTTTAAGTGAAAATACTTTTTTTACCTGGCAAATTTTATTTAAAAAGATAGATTACCCATTCATTCATTAATTTTCCTTCAGCTTAATCCCTTATTTATCAGAGGTTGTCACATTGGAATGCACTGCCAACTATTTCAAGTGGTGCTCGCTGCAGAGCCATTTGGGCGAGCTGAGCTCCAGCGAGGGGGAGCTTGAGCTTGAGCTCCACCTTTTTTGCACTATTTCTATGAGTGATGTCACAGGGGGTAGGGTTAGGGGTGGGGTTGGTGTACGCATTAAAACAGCTTACAGGAGGAGGAGCGAGAGCTCATGCTCCCCCTCGCTGGAGCTCAGCTCTGCTCAAATGGCTCTGCAGCGAGCACCCTCTCAACTATTTCGGCATCTATTTTTTACGAAGCGGATTACTCTCCAGCCACAACCCAGTACTGGAAAAAGGATACAGTAGCTTACCCAAAAATGTAAATTTACTCACTATTTACTCACCATCAAGTGGTTTCAAACCTTTACGAGTTACTTTTTCTGTTGAACACAAACAATGTTATTTTGAAAAATGTTTGAAACCTGTAAACATTAGTCAAATGTGAATTACTATAAAAGTCAATGGTTACAGGTTTTTAGCATTTTTTAAAATATCTTCTTTTTGTGTTTGTGATAAGAATTTTCAGTTGTGGGTGAAATATCCCATTACTAACTATAATTATTCAAAATTAATAACAATGTACACATTTTGGAGGAAGTTAATGTGTGCTCAACTCAAATTTTGTAGTCTTTTAGCAGAGTAACTAAAATATAGAATTGATGTATACACCGTAAAACCTAACAGACAACTTAAAGTCAATTAAATACCTCATTACTTCAACTTAAATGGAGTAAGTTCACAGTACTCATATAGATTAGGTTTTTAACTAAAATTGTTTGTTGCAATCGGTTTCCTTAAACGGCTTGAGTTGCCTTAACTTATTGGGTTTTACAGAACTCAGTTGGTTGAGTTATCTTAATTTATTAGGTTTTACTGTGCTTAAAAGGCTTCATTTACTTAAATTGATTAAGTTCACTGTACTCATTAGGATTCGCTTTTGAACTTAAATGGTTTGTTGCAATCGGTTTGAGTTACCTTAACTTTTTGGGTTTTGCAGTGTAGAGAGCACAATAATCAGGTTTATCCAAGTAATTGAATGTGATTTGATATTTCCAGACAAAACAAACAGAAGAAACACCCTTTATATATTGCAGTATATCACAAAATTTAACAGTGTATATTGTGTAGCATAAAGCTTGTTTATAAATGTAACTGAATTGTTCTTTTGAGTCATTCAGAGGCACAAATCTTTTGAATTATTCTGTTTGTCAACTAATTCATAAACTGAATGGGAGTTTCAAATTCTTACTTAGTAACATCATAAAATCAGTTGCAGATTGCTGGAGAACTACATTTATGCCACTGAACTAAACTACAAATCCCAGAAATCTTTGCTCCAATCACTCCTGCCACAGCTGACAGTCATCTGGACACTGACACATACACACACACAGCTGAAACTCATCTTTATTGATTACATGGACTATATACAGTATGCATGACACTTTCACGCAAACTGGGCTGACTGTTATTCTGTAGCATTACAAAGTGATCTTTTGTCTAACCTTGCTTTGTTTCTCGTTTACGTTGTTTTGCCACTTGAAATCAACCTATTTGCCTCTGACCACGACAACGATTTTGGATTCTCCTCATGATACTGTTTGCTCCTGTTTTGACTATTGCTTACATGACTCTGAGTTTATAAACTGCATTTGGACCCCTTGTACCCCAACTCACGTTACAGCATACAACATATACAGCATATACACCCCCCCCCCTGTTATTTTTTAGAATATTTAGCAAATTATGTTGAACAGAGCAAGGCAGTTTTCACAGTATGTCTGATAATATTTTTTCTTCTGAAGAAAATCTTATTTGTTTTATTTTGGCTAGAATAAAAGCAGTTTTTAATTTTGTAAAAACGCATTTTAAGGTCAAAATTATTAGCCCCTTTAAGCTATATATTTTTCGATAGTCTACGGAACAAACTATCAGTATACAATAACTTGCCTAATTACCCTAACCTGCCTCGTTAACCTAATTAACCTAGTGAAGCCTTTAAACGTCACTTTAAGCTGCATAGAAGTGTCTTGAAAAATTTCTAGTCAAATATTATTTACTGTCATTATGGCAAAAATAAAATAAATAATTTATTAGAAATGAGTTAAAACAATTGTTTAGAAATGTGTTGTAAAAAAATATTATCTTCGTTAAACAGAAATTGGGAAAAAAATAAACAGAGGTGCTATTAATTCAGGGGGGCTAATAATTCTGACTTTAATTGTATATGAATCCTGTCTTTTCTTTTCACTTCAGTGAATTAATTCTTCATGCTGTTGTGTAATTCTTAATGAATACATGAATTAATTAATGAATTGTTTCTTGAAATGCTAAAATTAAGCTTTTTACTCACTGGGTAAAGTTTATAATCTGCACCAGAACATACAGTAGATGTTAAATTAAATTTCTATCAATAAATCCTACAGTATCTTTTTAAACCCAACCAAATCTGTCCAAACAGCCCATTTCCAACATTTTCTGTGCATTTCTGGTTCATTAGCTACATTTAGACTGCATTTATTCCTTGCATTTATCGTCTTGAAATCTATCTCCTTTGCATTGGTTTGTGGTGTTTGCAGATTGCTGATATCTGTAAAAAATTGCTTTACAGATGGTTCCCCTGATCAACACAGCCACAGAAACATTACTGAGAAACCTGAAGAGCCACGCTGAGTCTGAAAACAGCTTTAACATCCACAAGTATGGGTTTCTCAGAATATACATGCACACATCTGTTTTTCTTATTATTCCAGAGCTTTTATTAATAAGCTAAACGTCTGTTTCGCAGGTGTTTCGGCTGCTTCACTATGGATGTGATTGCCAGTGTCGCGTTTGGTACGCAGGTGGATTCTCAGAATAATCCAGATGACCCTTTTGTTCACCAAGCATCCAAGTTTTTCGCCTTCTCCTTCTTCAGACCCATAATGATTTTCTTCAGTACGTTCAGCCCTCACATGCAGGACAGCATTTATGTCCGTCTCATTAATGTAGAAAGGATATCACAGCTAGTGCTCCCGACAGACGATGATATGAAGCTAATTTTTTATCACGCAGATATTGCGATTAGCATATTTATTGTACAAGTGAAATGTTCTGACCGTGCCCATTTTTCATGGATTTTTTTCAGTGGCGTTCCCGTTTCTCCTTCGGCTTCTTGCTGGCCTTCTTCCTAATAAATCCAGGGATGAGATGAATAGCTTTTTTACACAATGTATTCAGAAGATGATTAAACAGAGGGATGATCTTTCTCCAGAACAGGTATGAATGTACGAACAACATAATGAATCAGTGTGTCACATAACCAGCAATCTGTTCCTGAAAGATCGCTGGCATACTACACATGTCATTCATGAACTACATATCCCAGCATGCCTTTGCACAAACCAGTCACCATTAATCACACACAGCTGAATATCGTCATCATCAATGGTTTGGACTATTTATACACATTGCACACACCAGTCAGTGGGAATGTTTGTCAGTACCTGTATGGTTTCAGTGAGTGTCGTCCTGTTTAGTTTTTCTAGTTATGTTTTGATGATTGTTTTGTAACTTTTTGTACTTTGATCATTGCTTTGTTTTTGCATTTTTGATGCCCTTCATGATACTTGAGTTCTTGTTTTTTGACCTCATTTGTTTTTGCCTGCACGAATAATCTTTTTCATTAAAAATTGCATTTGGATCCAACCTCTTGTCTTCGCTCCCTTGACATCCGGTGACACAGTGAAGCATCCACACTTACTGTCACAATCAGTCTTTTTTTTCTGTTCTAATTTTATGATTATCTGAAAGTATATAATCTGTGGGAAAGAAAGACTGTGGAAGATTGAGATATTAATGAAACTATTAGCCAACCGTACAATTTAAAGTGATAGCTCAACCAAAACTGTAAATTGACTCACCATTTACTCACCCTAAAGTGGTTGCAAACCTTTACGAGTTTCATTCTTCTGTTAAAGAAGATATTTTGCAGAAAGCCGGAATCCTGTAACCATTGACTTCCATAGTAGGAAAAACAAAAACTATGGAAGTCAATGGTCCAGCTGTCTTCAAAACATCTTCTTTTGACGTTCAACAGAAGAAAGAAACTCGTACATAACAAGTAAAGGGTCAGTAAGTGATGACAATTAAATTGTTGGGGGAACTGTCCCTTTAACACATTAATAATTCACAAATTACTACTACATGCCAGACAAGCTAATCAGGACAAACACTTTAAGCTTCTATAGCCTTGATATGTTACAGCATGAATTTACAGCTGTTATGTTTCTAATAGTCTTTAGCACATGACTAATGTGTTTACTATGTTTTAGCATGTTTTAACACTATAATGCAGCATGAATTAGCATGTTACTAACATTTAGATAGGACATTCACATTTAAACATTGTTAGCACATTACTAGCATGTTTTAGCACATGGTTGACAAGTTTAACAGGTTAGCATGGTTTCACATATTGTTATCGCTACTTAGAAAGCTAGAGCTTTTAGCGTAATTAGAAATAACAATGCGAGTTGTGCACATTGAAAATAACTTCCTTTAACCAGACATTTTATTAACACATTGGTAAATAATCAACCTGTCAGTAAATGATGACTTTTTTTGGCTAAATTATCCTTTTAAGACACTAATAATTCACAAATTACAATAGATGGGATATGCTATTAGAGACCAGATAAGCTTATTATGAAAAACACGGATATAGCCTTGGTATGTTACTAGCATGAATTAACTGTTGTTATGTTTCTAATAGTCTTTAGACCATGGCTAATCTGTTTACCATGTTGTTAGCATGTATTAACATTAGATTGCAGCATGAATTAGCATATTACTAACATGTTGCCAGGACACTGATGTTTAAACATTGTTAGCACATTACTATATGTTTTAGCGCATGGTTGACAAGTTTAACAGGTTAGCATGGTTTAGCATATCGTTATCGCTTCTTAGAAAGCTACAACGTATGGCGTAATTAGAAATAGCAGTGTGAGTAGTGCATGTAAAAAATAACTCCCATTAACCAGGTGTTTTATTACATTATTAAATCATCATTGGGTTAGGAAATGATGACAAACTTTTGTAGTTTTGGGACAAACACTTATATAACCTTGATATGTTACTAGCATGAATTAATTGTTATGTTTCTGACAGCCTTTAGCACATGACTAATGTGGTTGCCGTGTTGTTAGCATGTTTTAACACAATAATGCAGCATGAATTAACATGTTATTAACATGTTGCTGGGAGGTTCGTGTTTAAACATTGTTAGCACATTACTAGCATGTTTTAGCACGTGCTTGACAAGTTTAGATTAGCATGCTTTAGGACAAACACTTTTATAGCCTTGATATTCACTAGAATGAATTAACTGCTGTTATGTTTCTAATAGTATTTAGCACATGGCTAATGTGTTTACCATATTGTTAGCATGTTTTATCACCATATTGCAGCATGAATTAGCATGTTACTAACATGTAGCTGGAAGGTTTATGTTTAAATATTATTATTAGCAAGTTTTAGCACATGGCAACAGGTTAGCATGCTTTAGCAAATTGCCATCACTAGTTAGAAAGTTTATACTTATAAATAACAGTGTGAGTGGTGCATGTAGAAAATAACTTCCTTTAACCAGTTGTTTCATTAATACACTATTAAATCATGAATAGCGAAGTTTTAAAAAACAATGGAAAAAAGCAAATCATTAAATTGTCAAGATTTCCTCAGTATTGAGTACATTAACATGTTTGTGATCTGTTTGTTTCCCACAGCGGCGGAAAGACTTTCTGCAGCTGATGTTGGATGTCAGGACCAACAAAAAGTTTTTGTCTGTGGAGCATTTTGATGTGGTCAACGACGCCGACGAGGAGGCCTATGATGGACATGAAAACAGCCCTGCTAATGAATCCACCAAGCGCAGCCAACAGAAGAGAATGATGACGGAGGATGAGATTGTCGGTCAGTCCTTCATCTTCCTGGTGGCTGGCTATGAGACAAGCAGCAACACGCTAGCATTCACATGCTACCTGTTAGCAGTTCATCCAGAGTGTCAGAAGAAACTACAGGAGGAAGTTGATGAATTCTTCAGCAGACACGTGAGTCCAGATTAAACTGACTTGTTTTTGGTGTGTGTTTGCGAATACATTCTTGTTTTGAGAATGCTTTTTTATTTGTTCTGCATAAATGTGGAATAACTGGCATTCTGTTCAATGTTTTCACAAGTCTTTTTGTCATATTTGTCGTGTCGTGGGTGCTCATAAATGCCATTATGATTCAGAAAATGCTTTTTTTGACAATGCATTCTTTGCTCTTCTAGAGCGTTTCATTTTTTATCCGATTTTGAAGGTCTGTGTTATTTGTGTTTCTCACAAACCATTTACCATCAGGGCCTTTAAATAAATAAATTTACAAGGTGGAACTTTTTATTTTATTTTATTATTTGGGAATGGACCTCCTACTAAAAGGATAGTTCATCCACAACTGAACATTCTATAATCATTTCTTTTCTGTTGAACACTTGAGGAGATATTTTGAAGATTGCTAAAAACTTGTTACCATTGACTTTAACAGACTCATTCTTTAAATGTAGCCCAATATATATTTCTGGAGATCACGAATTATGTAGCCAGATCTACATATGGCTGCATTTCGTCTTTAAAATAAATGCTGTAGAGCAGTATGACCGCTTGTCTCCGTATAGATGGCTTTCCGTGCTGTTACCAGTTTGACCAGTAGCTCCCCATGTATGTCGGTGGACTTGAGACGCAGAGAGGAGTTGACCATGATGACAGGCTTTGAGTCTGGCAAAGAACTGTTCCAGAAAGCGGGTAAAATAAATAAGTAAATAACAGGGTGAGAATGTGGTAAAACGGGGTAAAAATCTGACGAGGGCTTTACTTTTTGGTCAGTTGGGTTCAAGGAAGTGGGTGGGCGGGTCAGTCGGTGCTTTTGAAAACACTATTGGTTAGGTTTATTGAAGGAGGAGGGTGGGTCAGCCAATCAGTCAGTCAGTCAGTTGACAGCGGCCTATGGTGGATTTACACAAGAACAGCAGACACAAATGGCACTCGCGAGAGAAATTTAAGATCTGAAAAAGCGTACACAGCGGCGTTTTAGGGATTCACAAAAACAAAAACTGCAAAATAACACAGCCCCTGGGATGTATTTGGCGCTCTCCAGAAATGTATATACAGTAGGGGTACAGAATCAGAATGAGCCTAGGTTGAGTGACTTCCATAGTATTTTTTTCCTACTATGGATGTCCAATAATTACAGTTTTACCGCTTTCTTCAAAATACCTTCCTTGTGTTCAATTAAAGAACAAGAAACTCAAAGGTTTAAACCAGTTGAGGGTGTATAAATAGTAAGTACATTTAAATTATCAGATGAACTTTTTCTTTAATGAGAAGCTTTATCAAAGAGCAAATGTTTTCAAATTTGTGTCCACAAAAGGCACTTAAGGTGTATATAAATAATAGTGCAAACATTTTTTTTAAATACAATCTCTGGTGCATTTGCTCTGTTAGTGCAGTTCACTTTAATAAGTGTGAACCCTTCCATCTGTGCTTTGGTGCACATCAAACAAGCAAACACATACTGCTGAAAAGATGGGCTATTCTGGAGTTGATTGACTGAAATATGAATGTGACAGACCAAAGATAAACCAGCTAAACCAAAAACAGCACATAATCATCACAAGGTATGGCCCTAAAAATGACAGATTGCGCAAGATTTTCTGATCAAATTCATGATGTTTTTCACTAAAGTTCAATGGAAACGCATATCATTGAAGAAAATCTTTATGTGTGATTTCCTGCTGTTTTGATTCCTTTACACATTTAAGCTCTTTACAAGTTGTCAACTAATTAAAATACTATACATGCATTCACATACAGCAAACAAATGAGTTTAGTCCAGCATGCAGAATTACTTGTTTGATGTTTGGTTCAATCCAAATTATACATCATGAAAGCCTTTTGTTTGTTCTATATCTTTGAGTTTAAGGCCAAAAAGGAACACTCAAAAAATAAATAAATAGGCTCATTTTACATGTCCCAAAGAGTTAAACAATGGAGTTTTACCATTTTTTAATTCATTCAGCCTATCTTCATATCTGACGGGATCATTTTTAACTTAGCTTAGCATAGATCAGGGGTGCCCAAACTCAGTCCTGGAGGGGCGGTGTCCTGCATCATTTAGCTCCAATATCCTTCAACACACCTGCCTGGAAGTGTCTAGTATACACAGAAAAAGATGTTTAATTGAGGTTGAAACTAAAATATGCAGGACACCGGCCCTTACCAGCATATGTAATTAAATCAGATTATCATCTTGCTCTAAAATGACCAAACATTTTTAGTAGTTGTCCTATATAAAGCTTTTGTAGTTACAATGTGTACTAAGACCAATGGAAAATTAAATGTGGCTATTTTCTACCACACGCTCCCTTTGCAAGCAGGTGGTCATGTTGGAACTTTCCTAATTGGGGACTAATTTCAGGCACTGTGTACTATAATGGTTCCTTCTGCAAAGTGCACAAATTGTACTGCAGAATTTTTTTTATTATTATTTTATCATGCTTAAATGAGAGTAAACTGAAGTTCCTTTCCATATCAGCCAGCAAAACTAGTAACTTTTGATTTTCTGTCAGTCTTGAGATTTGCAAAACTCTTTAGTCATTTGAGCAAGATGTTAATGGTGTAATCCTATTCAATTATCTATGCTAAGCCAAGGTAAAATTTTTCTATTTTCAAAAAGAAAAGTTCCTTTAAAAGGCCCACACCTTTACAACAAATCCAAACAAATACCGCTGATGAAACCCAACCGTGTTGTCGCCTTACGCCTCAGCATTTAGTACCATTATCACAGTACTAATAATTATCACTCACAAGAGAGAGGTTTGCTTATTTAAATATGTCTAATAATCTAATAATTCATATTGTATCCAAATATTTGAGATATGTTGTGAAATTACAGCCAGCCACTTTGGTGTTCCATCTTGACTTGAAGAGTTTGCTTGCTACGTCACTTCAGTTTTTGTTCTTGTGCTCTAAATCATTCCTAAATAACTAAATCAGATCAGTCTCTTCAACCAATGGCTCAACTCTGATTATACATGCTGAATTGGTCCAACGAGCATTGACATCAACTCGACGAAAAGTGACATATGGAACTAGGGCTGTGTGTTATGGGCAAAAGAAAATTATCACGATTTTCTTGAACAATATTACGATTTCGATTTTAATCACGATTCTGTCACAGAGACACTGAATCTGTGTTTACAGTCTGAATCTAAAACATTTAAAAAAAACAAACAATTGGATACTTAATAAGCAGGTCGCACACCAGAAGCGCCGCGACACGGCACGCACATGACAGTTTAAAGTATCACACACCAGATGCGCACATTCGAATGATATTTAACATGAAACTAATCAGATGGCACTCTGTTGGGCGGCTGAAAAATCAACTGCGTCCTGAGCCGTGGCCGGGCGCAGCCGACTTGCGACGCCGGTGTGTGTATCCTGATAGAAACCTATGTTTAGAATTCTAAAATGCATAGTGCTGCGTGGCGCTGCACAGCGCGCCGCCGATCGGCACTTCTGGTCTGTGACCTGCTTTAAAGACCTGTAACATGTCTCAAGACATAAAATAAAAAATAACCTAGTACAGCTGTAACAGATTGTCTCTAGGATAGACCTATGGCAAAACAACTGTGTATGTGTGAGCACTCGTGCCGTCAAACTTATATAAGGCTCCAATGTTCTGCTTGATCAAATATCAGGAGTAGTTGCATGTGTGTTCAAGGATTTGTTTTGTAATGTAATGTATAGACCACTTTGTGACACTGCCGTGAAATAGGCCATTCACATATCACGTTTTTTGCACTCACAAGTTCATTATTTCCAATAAAGGCGCGTGGATTGCATGCACATTTTGAGAGCGGCACCATACCCGCCAACACTCCCGTTTGTCCCGGGAGTCTCCCGTATTTCAGACCCATCTCCCGCCACCCTCCCATTTTGTTATTCGCCCTGGAAAACTCCCGTAATTTCAACCATTTCCCCCCATCCAACCCCACCCCCTGGTCCTCAGCATTTGGTACAGTCTGTGAAAACCCCAGGTCGCCAACATTGGTATAGAATCCGAAACACGCTTCATAATACAGTTACTACACCTCACTCCCGAACTTTTTAATTCCATCCATACATAAAACTTGTATCGCATCTGCAGCAATGTTTTGTTAGTTTATCATTCTCTGAGAAAAAGATTGATTGTCACCGAGCAATGATAAAAAAATAAATAAACTGCTGAAGAAAGCAACACGCTCATGCTTTACACATGTTTTTGACTCAATACATGACTGACTCACAAATTACCTGGTTTTGCCATACATCAGTCTTCCTGTGTTCGAAGTAACCTTTCCCCATACCACAGATGTTGACTTTTTTGGCACCAAGTCCTCCAGAGCTAAACTCATCACGCCTGTATACACAGGCTATTCAGTCTCCTGTTCTCACGCTCTGTTTTGGTGCGCTGCGTTATGATTGCTTCAAATACCATACTGCAGTAAAATTGTGCTGTAAGGTGATTTAGAAATTGTGCATGTCCAAATCATGATTTCGGTACAACTTCAATTAACCGCACAACCCTATATGGAACACAACAATCAAACTTGCCTGTCCAACACTGACCAATGGCCTGACAAAGCCCAATGGCTGAGCTTTGAGTGCTAAGTGAACCAGGACTTTTATTAAAGAGATGGTTCACCCAAAAATGCTGGGTTAATAATTATTTATTCAACAAACCTTGCTTTTAATGAGCACGAAGGAAAATTTTATGAAAAACAATAGAGAAAAACATCTATTGACCCCCTTAGTAGAAGTCAATGGCTATCAGTTTCCAAATTTTCTTCAAAAAAAAAAAAATAAATAAATAAATAAATAAATATATGTGTATATATATATATATATATATATATATATATGCTCAAACAGAAGGAAACTCAAACAGGAACTACTTGAGGGTGAGTAAATAATAAGTAAATGTACATTTTTGGGTGAACTTTCCCTTTAAACGCTGCAGGATTGTAACA